AGCTTGATTCTTTCTCAATTAAATGCTTTTACAGTTAACGTATAATTGAATCAATTGTCACTTGGCTTCAATTCTATGCAAATAGCTTTGCGTGATTTGGCACACACAAGACACAACACCTCTAGTCGCATAAACTGCCCCGCATAGTATTGCTGACTAGAATAGATGTTACTGTCATAGTTATAGTGTATATAATGAATTAAAAATAATTATTGTCATTCACCGACAAAAAGATAAACACTTGCATGCATTTAAATAAATATTCCGGCAGTAAAGCATCCATTAAATATATGTAAAGTACATGCAGGCAAGATGATGGCAGGAGACATTTGATGAAAAATATTACTCGCATGTATAAACATTTGCATGCATTCCTTAGACTTGTGTTATGCAATACAAATAATATTGAGCCGCTAAGAAATAAAAAATTCTAATATTTTCTAAATGCATTCACTGCACATGTATGCACATCTATTGGGAAATTTACAATTAATTAAATTATTTTTTTGATAAGGCTTAATATTTTTTAGACACATTTAATTTAAGAGCGCGCGCGTGTGAACTTGGTAATCTAATATCTGAATAGAATATATACTATTAAATGGCTCTACAACTGATGTAATTACTATTATTATTTAATATTAGATCGGTTAGAAAGCTTTTTACTTTTTTTTTTTTTGTAATTTAGTTCTGCGACAACGTTGAGCAACGTTACTATCTCCGTTAAATATAAAATTTATATAAAAAAAGAAATAGAAATAATTGAAAATGTTTATAATTAATTTTAAAAATATATTCAGAAAATATTTTTTCATAATTATTTCTTTGCTTTATCCAGTGCATACCATAGAAAGCTATTTATCGAATACATATCAAAAGGATATTATAAAGGAATCATTCTTAGATACGGTAAATGAAAGATTGTGCAAACAAAACATATATGACAACAACTTAGAGATACCTTTGAATATAGAAAAGATTTGCTGAAATTTTTCAAAGGATTCTTTTATCTTCGAATCACTTTAAAGTGAATTACATTTTAGTAGGCCAGCATTTGGTTAAGCTTGCATTTGAGTTCACATCAAGCATTATTTGAGCGCAAATATTTTAAATTTATTATGGAAACATCTTCAAATAATCAATTCATTTAAAAAATATTTCATCAAAACAATATTGTATTCGATTGCTCGGGATTATCGCTTCAAACCTGTACATAAACATATCGAATTATTTTGTCAAATGGCGATGATTGATATTGATCACCTCATCAAGGGTGTTAAGAAGACCTGAGTAAGTTTTACTATTTTTTATGTTAACGTTACATATATAAGGTATAACGGAGTATAAGAAACGGAACTACAAGCCTGATAAACCTGTCCGCTTGGCTGGCTTGCATATATACCATCTTAAGCGCACATCTAGCAAGTAAGGAAATTATATCGTACTCTGGCTGAGTGTTTCTGCAATTAAGCTCCCAAAAATTTTTGCTTCAATATTTCTGGTATATGAATTTTATTAATTTGTGGAATCAATTACATTTTCGGCAGCAACACGAAATCTTCATCGCTGCACCTAGTTTTTTGCCGTAAAATTTATAATGCAATCAATTGCATTGCCAATGCAACGTGAATAAACATCATCGCTGGATTATAACTACCCATCATGAAAGGAGCTTTTAAACCGAAAGCATGCAACTAACATGTCAGCAAAAATATCGGCTTTCTCTTTTATACGGGATAGACCTACCTGTACAGTCTGCCTTTGGATAGTACGGAGATACTTTCGACTCTCCTGATCTTTCAGTAAATTGCTTGCGAACACCATTACCTTTTCTTCACTTACTCTGTCTACTAACAATGATTTTAAAATCGTTCGCTTGTCGAGACGATTAAAATGATATCACATCGACTCTAGCGAGCAAGGAATTCCTGTAAAAGACTGGCTATTTTGCTTTGGACAATTTTAGACAAATTTCTTTAAACCTCTTATGGTGACTACAACGCATTTGTTCATCGCAAGTTCAGAAGAGTCGAGCTATCATATTTGTCCCTAATGGAAAATACATGTTTTTTACTTCAAAGACAAAATTATGTTATGTGAATGTAGGGTATCGCTAATTCGATATCAATTTTTCTTTGTATTAATTTGATTTGGAGACAATTTATATTTTTTTTTTTTACTTTTCCTATTAGACTTTTCCTGCTTGATCTCTGAACTGGTAACTCTGCTAAATACAAAACAATTAAAAAATATATTTTGAAATCATTTTTGAGTCGAAAATGTTTACAATTAACTTAAGATATATATTCAAAACATATTTTGTAATTTTCATATCCTGGTTATATGCCGCGGATAGCGGAGAAAATTATTTACATAAAACATATCCAAAAGATATTATAGACGAAGCTTTCTTAAATACGGTAAATGCGCTCAGTAAAACTTGATGAGAACTTTAACTCCGTTCTGGTGTATCAGATAATTTAATATAATCCTCCTATATATATATATATATATATATACTCTTTTGTAGGCACAACTCATTAAAAGATATAAATATCCGGTTGAAACTCATCATGTTATAACAACCGACGGATACATACTTGGTGTGCACCGCATAGTTAACTCGGGAAAGCCACCCGTTTTGCTTATGCATGGACTTTTAGATAGTTCAGCGACATGGATATTAATGAGACCAGAAACTGCTTTAGGTAAATATGAGTAAAAAACTATTTATGAAAATTCTTTTAAAAACTTTTTAAATCAGGTTATTATCTATATGACAAGGGTTACGATGTTTGGATGGGCAATGCCCGGGGTAATCGTTATTCCAGAAATCATACGTTTTTAAATCCAAACACAGATTTATCATATTGGCGTTTTAGTTGGCACGAAATCGGATTGTACGACCTATCAGCCATGATTGATTATGTGCTGGCAAAAACCAATTTCAAGAAGTTGACATATTTCGGACACTCGCAGGTACATGGTTGTAGCAAAAGCAAAATTATCGATTATTTCGAGACCTTGATTTTCTTTTTCTTCTTGATTAGGGTACTACAGCATTTTGGGTTTTATGTTCGTTAAAACCGGAATACAATAATAAAATTTCTTTTATGCATGCCTTGGGCCCGGTCGCTTTCACTGCCAACATGCGCACATCTTTACTTGGTGTAGCGCAAACTTTTACAAGAATTTCAAAGAATAAAATCTACGAACTTCTACCTCACAGCTATTATCTTTTCAACTTATGCTTCACTTCCAGGATGATGGAAACCGCTTGTCTGGAAATTGCTCACCAGCTTTTGGGACGTGATGAACAAAACATTAATTATGTAAAACTCTTAAGTAATGATATATGATCCAATTATATTGAGGAAGATATTTTTAGACCTTTTTCCCAATCATATTGGGACATATACCAGCCGGTTGTAATTTGAAGCAACTTGACCATTATCTACAGCTAATAGAATCCAAACGATTCTGTCGTTATGATTATGGTTTTGAGCGAAATCTGAAATATTACGGACAGCCTACACCGCCGGATTATCCACTACAGAATGTTACAGTGCCTGTAGGCTTATACTATACCTACAATGATGAACTCAGCAGCGAGTTAGATGTAAAAAACTTGGCAGCCCATCTACCGAATGTTATCGAAGATAGCTTATATCCGTACAAAAAGTGGAATCACGTGACTATGTTATGGGGCACAAATGCTAGAAAATTAGCGCACAAAAGAATGTTGGAATTAACCAAAGAATTTATTAGTAAGTAGGAAAAATAAAAAAGAAAACGTGGAAATGAAAAAAAGCAAAATCTTTTACTATGGACCGTAACAAATTGATCTGTGGAAAACGAGTAAGAAAATTATATTCGCTTCAAAGACTGAGGGCCGTTCCTATAACGCAAGTTTAAAATGTCCGCTAAATATATTTTTCATTCGTTTGTTGAGCTTAGTTAATAAGGAATGCTTATTTGTCCATTCAAAAAAAGTTCTTGGAAGAAAAAATTTCTCTTTATTGCAATTTAAAAGGATGAACTGTCACCTATCGGTTTTGCAGTGACAGTCGCTCAACTCTTATCGCTTCTCAGCCTTATGTCTAAGATCAAAGCGTAGCATCCATTAAATAATTTCAGTAAATAATAAGCCGTTATGTATGGACAGACATATCAGACCCATATTAGATACCCTACACCGCCCTACAGTTATTCATATTACACCATTCGAAATAAGCCATGGGAAGTGATTGAAAACGTCGTCCAATCCGAACCATTCCCAATTAAAATATCTCTAAAATTTGCGGCTTGCAGACTGTATAAAAGGAAAACAAGACAGACTGAAAGACAGACAAGCTTAAGTTGCTTCAGAAAGTGATTCTGAAACGATCAGTATAGTAAAAAGTGGCTACACCTCAAATACTTCTCACAGTTTCATTGATCCTTACAAATTTAATATACGCTTGAAGTGGTGAACGTTACTTCAGCTTCGACTGACTTTTATTGTCACATTTCTGCCCTAAAGATCGGTGCACTAGTCCAGTACTTTAGTCCAGGTGAGTAAACAATTTCATGTTTTTGGGAAGAAATCCAAGCCGACTTGGACAATCCACAACTTCGTTAACTGTGCGGAATTGAAGAAATGTGTCGATGTGTGCGGTTACGATTTGATGTAATCAATTAAGTAGCATTCCCAGGATTATAGAATCTATGCCGCAAAGAGGGCGAATGGCTCGATTTAGTGAAAATGAGCAGAGCTACGTTAACGTTATTTATAGATGACATATATGATCGACTGATAATCCTATAAACCTATGTTATATATAGGGAAATACCAAATATTGAATATTCTCTAAAATATGGGAGACATTTCTAGTATTAAGTCGACGAACGAGATGACAGAGAGTGTATAATGAAATGTAAATTGTCCTCTCGCAATTAGCTATTCATTGAATTACTTTAATTAGTTTATTTTTAAAAATCGTATAAAATATATTTTCCCGTCGCTTAACGAGCAAAACTGCCTGGTGTCTCTTTTCTGCGTTGAACTACTTGATTTAGGATTAATATCAGCCTTTGTAGCTTAGGTGTAAATAGAAATTTTGTAGGTTTCCATCGAAAACCTCGAAAAAATGATAATAAAAAGTGAAGTGCTTGCAGGTGTTTGCATTGAAGCACAAACTCAGACACACGTATCCAGATTTACTGTTTGAACAACGGGGACATTGCGTTTCGCGATTTCGGTCTAAAAAAGAAGAAAGAAGAAAAAAACGAGAGAAATGCAGGACGTTTTACAAATGATTGGCAAAAAATTGAATTTTCGCTTTTATATATGAATTTGGGCAGCAGTGGGATATAAACAAAAAAACAACAAAAACAATTCAAAATAAACGAAAAATTGTCAGAAAAATTCAGTTAGCGATATTTTTTGAAGCGAGGCTATTTTTTTGCGAATTTCGTCTTCCATTTCAAACAAATCGCATTTTTGTGACAGCGACAAGTGACAGTTGCAGTTCTATTCATTAAAACGACAAAGACAAAAAACAAAAAAAAAAAACAAAAAAGTGCTGAAAAAATGTAACTGATGTCGATGATGAGTAGAGCACTTCACTAGACTGAGCAAATAAAAATGCACACACAAACGCATACATTATATTGTAAACGTATTTTCATATCCCCGCTACACACGTATTTGCTTTAATGAAACATTCAAATGCAAAGAGACTTTGACAAATAAGTTAATTCGCTTTGTTGTCACCACATGTTGAAAATCGGGCATCAATATTTCACAACGATGTTTACCTGCATTTTTCCATGATTCCATCCTTTCAGATTTATTCGGTTGCATGTCAATATGTCATTTTTTTTTTTTTATTATTTTTACATCAACCATTCACGTAGAAAGTTATACTAATTTTATTATTTCCTATGTCGCACAAATCGATATATGCAACACAGAACTCTATATATAGTATATTGCGAGGGAATTTTAAAAGCAATGAATCTTTCTTTATTGACAATGGTGGTGTTTCCAATTTTAAAGTATGAGAATGTGTGTGTTTTATTGGATTAAGGCTAACATGGTTTGACAGTTGGGCTTTGAGGGCTCAACGAGGCCTTTAAGCTTTGCCAACTTTGTCTTCAAAAAGTTCAAGTCTTCGTCTCTTTTCCCAACTCTCAAGTCCCATGACATGCTCGAAATCACACAAGGCGCATTTCTAGTAATTCAGACTACGATTCCTAAAATTTTCCATTACACTGACAGTATCACTCACGACTTAGCATTACTTACAGCTTACAGCTTATTGCCATTAAATTCATCGTTTAAAAAAACCCCTTAAAGGCTCCCATTGTTACGGGAACAAGTCCAAGTGTACCTTTCTTCTGCTTATTGGCAACGGCAGACTTGCGCCTACAAAACATTTCGCAAAAATACTTTTACAGATGACACAACCCGTTGAAGAGCTTACGATTGCATGTCATGCCATGTATGCCATAAGTAAAAAGTTGCTAAAACACAAGTCACCGTATCATTTAAAAGGACGATTTGGGATCTGATTACGAGAAGGTGTGTAAAGAAAAAAACATTGTAACAATTTTCACAGCTAAACACAACATAACGCATCACGGGAAGTATGCTTTTCATTAAATCCATTTAAGATTGTTTATCGATAAGTGCACAAATGTTGCACAATTCGGCGAAAAAAATGTTGATCCATTTATATGCGGACATAATACGTTCACATATCAGAAGCAATTATAAAAAAAAAATGATTCAATCACCTTTTTTTTTGGAAATTTCGATATACAAAATGATTTCGAGAGATTGATTGACACCTTTAAGTATGAGTTCTCGAAAAATGATCGATTTCTACAAATAAAGCGGAAAAAGAACAACAACAGGATTCGTCCGAACAGCGTTATAAAGCTTTAGCTTTAAGCATTTTTTATTAATGCTCTGTAAGCAAATTGCATAAGTTCGTAGACGAATTAAATGTTCATAGCAACAGTATCTCTCTTAACCATTAACATATTCTTCTATAAGTTGAAATACTTAGAGAAATCCGCTTAAATTGTAGTTTTACGCACTTACTTGTAAGAACATTTACATTACATATGTAAGTTGTTAGTAAGTAGCAAATGACCTGCCTGCCTTGCAAGATAGTTGGAGGGAGGTGAGGTGAACTATTGTGCAAAGGGAGCTTAAAATAACGCAGCATAACAATAAGAACAATGTATACATATAACGCAGAGACTCATTACATTAAATACTCACTTAACTTTTGTAAACTTTGCCATTAACACAAAAAGCCTAGACTTTCATCCCCATTGTGTGTGCTGAGCGTATGAATGAAAACAATAAGAAGATTTAAATACACTCGCACATCCATATAAACATTGAAATACTTGTAGTCAACATATATGCGAACGCAACATTCGATGCTGATGATGGTTACTGATTAAAGGATTGTTTTATTTTAATTTGAGATATCATGGGAAATTTCTTCTTCAAGTTGTAATATAAATAAATACATTTACATGTAGATTCTTGAGCCAAGCGAATGTATGTTTTTGAAAAGATTTCTCTAAAATCATTTAAGTTAAGCTAGAAAAAGTTATTTTTAAGCGTTAACTTGCAGAGAAAACAAAGTTTGAACGTTTTTTTCCGTTCAATTTTAGTTTCTTTTGATTTAATTTCGCGTAACGAAAAACGAGAGGAACATAGGGATAAAATTGGAAGTCAATATTTGTAAATTTCCATAGTGCGGATAATTTGATTACCCACCAAAGTCCGTTTCGGTGGAGCAATACGTTCGAAAAGAATCGTTCCACTTCAACATTATCGCTCTCTCACATGTTTCACCTGAAATTGATATTTTCCTCCACTGACACAACTCTGCCGAAATATTTACCATATACTGAGAACGAGGCTTCACAGATCGTACAAAGTGTACATATTCTTGCTCAGTGTCAAATCCTGAACCGAGATGGACATGTGTGCCTGTTCGCCTGATTAATATCTCCGATAAACATCCTTTTAATCACAAAGATTAGGGTGTCAGTTACAAATTTGATAAAAATATTGGAAATTCTCGAAAATGGACTAATGCTGAATATGGAATCCGTCAAACGATATTCAAGGTCAGAGTACAATTTGATCGTAGGTCCTGTGTAATATTTTTAAACCGTGACAAATGCAACGATACAAATTTCTGCATTGATTCTATGTGTAAGTCGACAGTGTCTGATGGAAAATAAATGCAACCCTTCCATCCCAAATTCGAAATTCATTTTTCCTTTGTTTTGAGTCTTTTTGAAAGTAAAACTCTCCAATTTGTGAATCGAAATTTTATCTCGCTCCAAAACCTTGATAGTAATCCAGACTGCAATACCAAACAACATGCCATCTCAACAAGGGTTTCTGTTTTTTGCTTTTCCCACTATTCTATTCGGCTGTAGCGGGTACTCTTCTTTCATGCATTCAGCCTTTTGTCGTAATGTCTTCAATTCTTACCAGATTTCTTTGTCGACATAATGCTTACGCTATTTGAATTTTTGTATTAGTTCACAACACCTTGTAAACGCTGACGACGCACAAACACAAACTGGTGACTTGTGTTTTAATGTAAACTCAAACATTACCTTCGGCTTTCAAAAAAATAAAAAAAATTCCGAAGAAAATAAAACCTATTTGATCCCTGCACACTTACTTCTCCATTGCCTTACAAGCCAAACGGGAATTTTATCCATTTACTTACTCGTACGCAATATCTTCAAACTCTTGACAAAATACTTTTTCTTATCT